TGCGTAGCGCGTTGAGACTTATCGAGTTATGTTTTGCTTTCTTGTTATGTCTTTCGCGTTCATGCGTGTGTTCTACGAATAATCACATAGAGATGTAAAGCAGAGAGTGTAAAAAATTATGCGAATTTCGATTATCTAAGAATACATATCTTGTTTTTACCAAAGTGAACTATTATTATTATAATAATTCTAATAGAAAGAGATGAATGATGCTGGCAAGTACTAGATAGAAGTTCTCGAAGAAAGAAAATCAATTTTGAAATGGTTGCAGTTTCTATGACAGAGGCACGATTAGGTGTGAGCCGAAAAATGGCAAAAATTTGCCCGACCGAAGGTTGACGGGCTGACGATGCACTGAAATCAGTGGCATAGACAGCCGCCCAGCACATAGCGCACACGCGCGTTCTCCTTCGGTCCCACCTCGGGAGTCTCCTCTCCGACTTATTACACCATTGCGGAGAGCCAGTGGAACAGCTGTTTGCTAAATATTGATCTCTTTTGGAGAGTTGACGAACGAGTTTCGAGCTTATTAAATGCCTCAATTTTTGAAACGAGAGCCATTTAATTTGCGGTGGATTGTGGATGAACTACCAGATGCGTGATGAAAATTCGGTGGGTGCGGGCGGAGACTGCAAATTTATGCGCTGGCACACATCTAAAAATTCTGAAAAGTGAATAAAAGAGTAATAAAAGTAAGGTGGAGAAGTTTTCCCCAAATTCAGACCCCCCATTTTAGTGGTTTCGTGGTCCTTTTTAACAAGCAGCGAGTAAAAATGATCAAGTTTAGCGACACAACCTGCCCTGACCCAACCTAAGATCACATTTGATTGCAAGGGCAATAACAAGGATCAGGTTCTGAAAAAATTGCCATTCACGAGAGCGGCTGGAGTGGTTATCAAAAGAAGGCCTGAGATAATGACGAAGCTTTCCCACACAGCATCTCTAGCCCAAATCATTGCACCTTTCCTGGGTCATCGTTGTCTTTCTTCCGCTCCCTCCCTCTCAGTGAGCTCAGTACAAAGCAGCATTTATCCATACCCATAGACCCCTTATAAAGCCCCGCAGAAAATTTGAGACTTGATAACGAAATGAGAAAAACGAAAACGGACCAGGAAGACGACCACGAATGTGATCAAACCGCAAGGCCCGCCTTCTTGATGAGAGTGCGAACAATCGTTAAATTTAAGGAGGACCAGCTGCTCAACGGGAGCGTGTGGTAAGTGCGGAAACAATGCAATAAAGACGTGAAACAGAGGAGAAGATTCCAGTACTCGTTCTATAAACATGAATGCGCCATGCACTTTTCTCCGCATGAAAATTTAATAGTGATTGAAAGCGCAGGAGTGCAACTCTTCCATAAAAATGAACGACTTATTGTCGCACTGTCATTTCTTTTGCCCCTGTAAATCCCCTGTAAATTTAGGATCCCCTGTAAATAGCAAGATCAACCGGTAGCGGTCCTTGTATGTCTGAAAGTGGAACTTTAGGAATGGTCGTGAAATCGATTTACCCCTGAATCACGTTGGCTGTTCATAGAAATGCATATACTTTTGAGTTAGCTAAGAAACAAGAAACTCTACCGGTCATCTACTACCGAACTCGTTTCGTGCAGACGAAATTCGACCAGAGTCCTAGATAATGTTGGCTCATCATAAAAGCAGCTCTGAGCTATCTATCCGAGATTCCCTTGACATGAGGACGATATACGAGTTTAGCTGAATGTTGATGTCGCCAGGCCATTCTGGTTCTTATAGTATGAAGAACCAGAATGGCCTCAGTTCCTCCTGACATCAACACTCAGCCGAACTCGAAGATCGTCTTCAACGCGCCGTACGACGACAAGCACACCTACCACATCAAGATCATCAACGCTTCCGGCCGACGTATCGGATGGGCCATCAAGACCACTAACATGAGAAAGCTCGGTGTCGATGCAGGAGGCCTCCCTTCAGGCTGTGTCCTGGTGTTCGATTAGGGACGCGAGGACACTAACAACGACTGTGTCACTGTCGAATGGTGACGGAGTTGCTAAGCATTCCGACGTGAATGGTTCCAAGGAGATGGTATGGTCCGAAGAAAGAATCTGCCTATCGAGTACAATCCCTGAAATCCCTGAAAGGACCCATTTAATCAACTATAATAATAAAACCTAAAAGCTTGGTTTCAGAGCTCATCGAATCTCTGCATTATTTTTGCCGCTCCTAAAGATTCGCTTGTCACAGCGCATATTTCGCAATGCGACTCTGAACATTACTACTGAGAGTAGGCCCAGACCAAGAAAGTGACAACCATTCGATGAATGATGACATCTCCTGTCACAGGCCGCGATTTTTGAGCGTAGCCAGAGGCTTTTCCTACGATACTGGGAGAATATTTGGGAGAAATCGTCAAGCTTCACGACTGGATAGAAAAGTAGAAAAATCGAAGAAAAACCAATTTTCGCTTTCGGAAGGTCGTTAATTCAATGGACCGAAAATGTCGAACTCCGCCTGAAAATGCTGGTATTCCACAATCAATCAACGCAATCACACGTATAAATTTTCGTATAATGTATGCTATACGAAGTTATTACACTTTGACACTCTCTAATACCTTCACCCACCGAATCACTTTTGTTATGGCTTAGTTCCCTAAACTTAAGTGCGATTTAAATGAAAAAAAAAACAGATTTTTTTCGCAGCGATTTAGTGGAGCAAGGGATATTGAGCACTGACAATGATCATGACTTGTCAGCGCTCCCATGAGTTTTTATAGCAAGAACCAGCCTAAAATGCAAATACTTACAACGGCAAGTTGTCGCACGCGCGGCTAACCAAAAATGGACTTTCTCAACGCAGTCGTTTTTCTCATTACTTCTACTGAAAAAAAAGAGAAAAGTTCAAGTAGATTGATGGCAACTGGAAATTGTGCTAGCGAGCTGTTATGTCTCACCAGGAAAGGCCATTAGCTCAATCCTGCTAAATGAAATGAGGTGTACACTCCCATATGCATCATAAGATGGTGAGCTCGAGTCCGCTTTCTGCTGATAACGATTATCTGGGACGGTAGTAAAGTGGCCTCAACTGCTAGTTACCATGTGACCATGAGCTCGTGGTAACTTGGTCATGGCTTCCATCCATGTCTCCCTAAAAGATGCGTAGAGCACCTCTGGAACCCCTCCGAAGATTCCCCGTCGGAATGGTCGAAGTGAGTTCGAACTTACTTGGAAGTTAGGGTGATGACATCACGTGCTAGTAAGAGGATTAGCAGGGTGGTCATTTATAAACTAACAGCGATGGCGGCAGAGGAAAAGGAAATAGTGCGCGCGCGGTGGAGGGCGCAAACATGCTGCCACTTCATCTCTAAAAAGTCCTCCGGAGGACTTTTTAGAGATGGCCATCTCCAAACAGCCAGGCTGTGTGGGTCAACGCAGTAAGTTGAAAAGGGAAAGGGAAGCAACTTGCATTGATCCGTCAATGGTGTAGCGCCTGCGGTCCACGTTTGTGTTGAGCCGGCCACGGGATCGATACTACTAGATGTCAAAATCTTTGCAACTTTTGTGGGTTATTGCCTTTCCTCTAGAATTCTTTCACCGTCAATAAGAAGGGCTCCATAGTGCAGTGGTAGCGATGCCGCTCATGGGACGATGCACCGAAGGTTCAAACCCGTGTGTGACGCGACTTTTGCAAGCAACGTGGTGGATGCTCACCACTTCGCCTATGGCAAATTGCCATTGGCTCAATGGGGACGTTCCACGCTGCCGCTGGCAAGGTTGCTGGATCAGCACCGCTTGGAGACTAAGATTTGCAAACAACATCCATTGCATACCTTTCATCAACATCTCTTCCAGTGTGTGGTCGAGTGATCCCTGGTGCAGTGGCAAAAAACCGGCTATGAGCCCTACCATCCAGGGCTCAAGTCCGAGAGGTTGCAAGTTTTGCAGGTCGTGTGGCGAGGCTGGCGGTTTCAACTAGGGTCATGTCCATGTTTCCACGTTCTCTACTCCTCGCCAATGGGATGTAAATCACCACATTTGACTGCCAGTCTAGGGCACTTTACTACCGTCCCTGATAAAATCGTCTCTGAAGAGTTACGGATATCGGATAATAGCGGTGGTCTAAGCAATAACCTGTCGTGTAATTAGAGGTGAGTCTAACGAGTGCTTGTGTCTTGCCCCTCCTATCTAGATGCCTATGGTCTAGAACGAATTGCTCTGAAGTTCGAAATTGTGTTTGGAGGCTAGGTCGCACTTATCTTTGACTTACTTCCAGGCTCTGACGACGGCGACACGGCCGAAACGTTAGCCAGTAAAGTGATTATATCATCTTGGTGTCGGCTACAGAAGCAACCCTACCAGAGTTACGGATAGTTTTTCTTGCCCCCCCCCCCCTTACTCTTTGCCTTGCCTGCAATCACATGTACGCTCCATTATGATCGTCACAAAGTAAGCTTCGGTGGCGCAGCTGATAGCAAAGCACATGCCTTTTACAGCGTTAGGCTTCGGAAGGAAGCAATCGTGAATGCTCTATATTTACCATAGCTTAATAGCGTTTTTGATACTCTATTTCATTAACTTCCGCCTGAAACTACATCTATACAGAGTGTGCGAGCATGTTCCCCTAATTGTAAGTTTGAGCGCAACTTGCCTAAAAGTGCCCATGGTGCCCGTAGTGCAGGTGCTATGCTTTTCCGTGGCAAGTAGGTACGATATTCGTATTCAGGGGATCAAACTACCCCTAAAACGAGTTTTTCGCCAAATCTGAGGTTATGAACTAATTGAGAAAAGAGGAGGCAGTCATCGATTACCACCTCAAATTCCAATTCTAAAGTTGACCAATCCTGCAAGGCGGGGCAGAGCGGAGGGAGGAATGTTCGAGGAAATATTCCTTGCAGATCCCAGGATGATGCAGACAGGCAAGCCCGACACTTTTTGTTTGCTGAAATGCTTTTGTTCTATCCCATTACCAGCCTTAGTGAATGGATTGGTTGCTCAATTTTTCGAGGATAGGTTAAAAATTCAGATTTGGCCAGAAGCTCGCCCAAAGGGGCAGTCTGACTCCATCTCCACGAATCTCATACTTGTTCGGAGTGACAATGCCTGGCGCTAGCGCTTCAGGCGCCTGAGTAGTCATGAGCGAATGCTGTCCAAATTAACTATATATTAACTGCCCTCAAATTCTTTGCTCCATGTCAGGAATATCCCTAGCCACTACTGAAATATAAAATAAGCTCCTAAAAATCAATACTAACCAAGGAAAGATGCAGTCGAAGAGCGATAAAATAATTATACACCTGACGGTCTCATAAACGCATAGAAAAATCTGCCTTCCAAATCTCAACGCTCTCCGACGACAAACTAGCAACGTAGCAGCTCAAGTGGAGGCCGGCAGTTAAAGCTCGTGAGATCGTCCTTTGCAAGTTTGTTGCTTTGCTTTTGTCCGCAACACTTCTAGAGACAAAAGCAAAGCAACCAATTTGCAAAGGAACCGGTCCTACGAGCTTTTACCTGCCACCCCGGACCATCACCACTGAGCTATTACGCTTCATAACTCCGTTCGAGAGTCGTTTAGCAGATTTGGGAAGCAGATTTGGAATCACGTCTGAACGCATCAGAATTCTAAGCATCTTCAAACGGCCATTCGACTACACGGTCCGCCCATGTAAATTCAACACACGCGCTGCGTTTCTGATTGTAATTCCCCTTCAGGAGAAGACTAAAGCAATAATGAATAATTTGATCTCATGTCAAGCGAATTGTAATCTCCCCTCAATTGATGCAAATCTCCTTCAATTGAGCGGACTAATAACCTTGGGCTATTGATAAACCTTCATTCGCCATCGTAAGTTAATAGACGCAAGATACCTTCCTTAGCCTGCGAAATGTCCCACAAATTGTCCATATTGAAAAGATTTTGCTAAAGCAACCCCCATGAGAATCGCAACCCCCATCAGTTATCGGATGAGCCAAATGTTGCATCACCATGACGAACAAAAAGAGAAGAGACAGCAGCTAGGAGAACGACTTCCGATCAGCTGACAAGCCAGCAGTCGTCATATGAACCATTTTTCCATGAGGCCAGTGGTGCTCCCAGACCATTTGTTTATTCATATATGCGTATTGCCCCGGTTTTCAAATGAAGATTTGAGATCAAGTGGTCGCCCTGACGAATCCTTCTAAGATGTGAAAAGCCCTTTCAAATTTTTCAACAAAGAGAATCCAAATCGTCGAGAACCGATACCTATAATTCAAGAGACCACTCTTCCTCTCTCCTTTTTCGTATCCGAAATCCCACCAAATCACCCAAAGTAGCGAAAAGTTCGGCGCACACGTTCTCGTTATAGGTGGGAAACTCTGACCTTCTCCACTATCACTACTATTCACTCTCTCCCTGCGTCTCATCATCTATCTTTTGTCGCCACCCCTCGTTTAATTATGACCAGTCAATGTCGCCTACTTGGTGGCTGCACCTGTCATACATCGCCCATGCACCCCCCTCTTGACTCCACCCATGGGTCCATGGCAACTCCTGCAAAAGTTCCAGAGACGAATTCGAGAAATAACTGAGCGGTCGTGAAGTGCCTCGCTATCGCGCATTTCAATCATCGATTCACGCCCGACCTCACCCCGGGAGAACCTGGGTCCAATGAAGTTAAAGTTAGCCCGATATTCGTTAGAAGAAAACACTTCACCTCCACACTGTGGATCTTCGCGAGTCATTGTATAGGTCGAATATGTATTTAAAATACCCCTCTTTATTACAGAAAGTAGCATGCGTGGCGTAATTTGGACTGGCTGCAGAGGGCTTAACGTTTTACCTTACTTACTTCTGCTCTTGATAAAAATCTTGCGTTTGAACTGAACGACTGAACATGCTTTAAAACGTGGTGGGCTGCTGTCATTCATTCTCCTCTTTGACGTCATCGCAACATTGTAAAGAAATTTCTAATGTATCATGGAACTTGCGGAAGCTCACCTGTTGGGCAGGGCTCACAAAT